CAGGGTGAGTCTGATCTGGGAAAGGAGCAGCACCATTTCTCCCAAGACACTTTCTCCATCCCAGGATCATTTCTGACACCCTTCAGATGAGGAGAAGCAGGTGGGTGAGGGATGGGGACGAGCTCAGAACTGTCAAGGGTGCTCATGGAAGTGGGGTGTGCAAGCTCAGCTCCACTGGTCTCTGCCCACAGGGTGGCCTGACACCAGTGCCCTCCCCTATGACGGATGTTTACAGGGCTGGACGGGATCCCTGGAGCCCTTGTGTCCATGTGCCAGCAGCTGCAGGACACCAGGGTTCTACGAGGTCGTGGTCAGACTCTTTCCCCAGCTGCATCCACGAGCTGGGGACCTCTAGGAAAAAGCCATTAGCTGGGAACCTCCAGGAAAAATGTGCCAGTGGGATGTTGCTGGCAGGTTTGGTGGTTGGTGGGAGCAGGAGGCGAGGGGGCCTCGTGTTCGGGGTTGCCGGTCCCGGCGGTGCTCCCAGTGCAGCGTCAGCCAGTTTTTGGCAGCTGTGAGCCCTGGCCCCACATTGCCCACAGTCCTGGCCCCAGGGAGGCAGGGAGAAGGTGGCATGCTCACATCTAAATACAACATGTTCCCCAAGCATGTTTGTTAACATAGTCACAAATAAACATTTTGCAAGATTTTTGCCAGGAGAATGGGCTTAATGTGTGTGGAGCCTTGAGGGACAGGAGAAAGCTGGTGCAGCCTATCACCGTGGGCACTGCTCTGGCCTCCCTAGCACTGCTGGAGTGAGGGCAGTTGATTCCTCTCTGGGGAGTGCATTACTTAAGTCCCTGTGTACCAATAGAGAAGCAAATCCCATTAATCCAACCAGGATGGAAACAATATTGTGTTATCTAAGTAGAAGAGAAGGGCAAGTGGAAACTGCCAGGTTCTGCCTGTCCTCCTCACTGGTAGTTTTGCCCCTACTCTTCTCCCCTCAACAGGCTCTGGCTTCAGGGTGAGTGAGAGGAAAAGGCAAAGTAATGTCCCAGGTCCCTGGGGGATTTCAGGCTTTCAGGGACAGGACAAGCAGCTCAGTCCTGGGAGAGTTGTGGGAGCCCAGGGGGAAGCAGGGGCAGAGCTGAGCAGGAAGGCACGGAGGAGGAAGAGGGATGCCCTGGGTGGTCAGGGGCCTGCAGCCTGTGGTTTTCTATATGGACCCTAAAGACCCCTCGTTCATCTTCTAACCCACAAGTTGTTCATGCTTTTGCCCATCCCATTCTCTGCCTCATCGCACTGGGGAGGAAGCAAATGAGTGTCCAGGAGGGGGCTCAGCAGCTGGCAGGGGCCAGCCTAGCACATTTCCCAATTCCCACATTTCCCCAGTTCCACATTTCACAATCCTTCATCCCTGGAAGTGTTCAAAGCCAGGCTGGATGGGGCTCTGAGCAACCTGGTCCAGTGGAAGGTATCCCTGTTGGAACTAGATGGTCTTTAAGGTCCCTTCCAACCAAAACCCTTCCATGATCCTATGATTTTCCCAGTGCCTGCAGTTGCCTCTCGGTACCCCACTGTGCTCCAGTTGGTCCCAGTAAGCTGTGACCCCCTGGCCTGCAGTGCCCAGTGGGAGGGATGCAGAGGGCATTGGAATAACTGGGAAGGCTGAGGGCTAGGAGGAGGACTGGCCATATCTGCTCAGCACAGGCCGGCAGCAGTGTTCTCCCACACACGATCCCACAGTCCCCTCTAGTGGATATTCCTACTCCATCGACATGGATGTCCTGCCCACACTGTGTGGGCACCACAGGGCTCCAAACTTTGACTCCAGCAGTGGCCCTGGGGTACCATCACACTCCTCTCCCAAAATTGGGCATGGTGGCAGGATCAAAGCCCCATCCAGCTGCCGCCAGCTGAGCCATCACTGCCTTCACTCCTTCCCCTCCTGCGTATTTGGGTGACTCATCCTCCCTCCGTCCCCTGCCCTGGCTTTGTCCCACACCACCCGCTGCCCTTGCGTCAGGGCTGGCCCCAGCTGGCCCCTGCATTCCTCACTTTCCCTCTTCACCAGGATTTCACATCTCTTGGAGTTATTTGGGCATCAGCCAACATGAGGAAGAGCTCATGAACACCCTCGTGGCAACTTCTTCCAAGGGAGCCAGGTGTGAGCATCGCTTGCCCCTGCCCTGCCAGACCCTGCAAGCTTAGTCCAGCTAGGACTGGGACAAAGTGGGATGCTCTCAGGGTGAATCCCCTAAGGGAGGTGGATGCTTGCACCTTTGTCCAGCAGCTCCTGCCCATAGGAAGGGTGGGAAGGCTCCCACCGGCACTGGCCTGGAGCGATGCCCTGTGCTCAGGGCCAGGTCACCACCACCTCGTTCCCCCTCTCTCCGCCTCTGCCTGCCTTGGAAACTGTGCTTGTCACCTGGAAGATACGTGATATCTACAACCTGAGGCTTTTCAAGGGACAAAAACGCACTAAGGAGAGCGTGGAGGAATGGACACATCTGCAGACCACGGTTCGTGATGTTCCATCATGCTGTGGTCCTCCACCTTGCTCCATCTTTTGCTGGGAAACATGTAATCCTGGCCCCAGTGCCCCCCCTCAGCAGTCTCAGTTCAGAGCAGAGCTGGTGTCAAACCCTCTGCCTTTGTCCCTGTGCCAGGAAAGGACAGTGTCCCCTCCAGGGCCTCCAGTACAGGGTGAAGGTAGTAGGGATGGAGAAGCAATTGGGGTCCAACACTTGGTACCAGGAAGCCCCAGGAAGCAGCTGGAAGGGCAAAGAGGTGGTTGTTACCCAAACCAGCCCTGGGGCAGCTTTATGGCCCCCACAGCAGCACCCTGGGGAGATGTACACCCAGTGCAGCCAAATCACCTTTTCCCTTGAAGGCTGGGAAACCCTTGGTGTCCTGGCTTCAGCAGGACTGTACCTCCAGCTCATGGATGTGATCCTGCTCACACCTTGTGTCATGTCCTGGAGTAACACTAGTGCAAGGACCACACACCCTGCTGCCAATATCCAATCCTCCCCGCTGTCTCACTACTTCTCATGGGACATTCCTGAACCTGGTGCCATGGGGAGCAGAGCCAGGCCTCAGGCTGTCCAGCCACAGCTGAGCAGGGTTCAGACACAGAAACACACATCTCAGGCATGACTGTGGCACTGACCATGATCCTATGATTTTCCCAGCCCTGGTAGTATGGTCCTAAAGTCCTTCCTCCCTGCCTTTGGTCCCGTGTCCAGCTGGGCTATGGCATTGCTCACAGCATGCAGGTGCTGGTCACACACAGGGATCCTTGTGTCATGGCCCCACGGTGGGCAAGGGAAGCCCACAGACACCTCACAGCCTCTATGTGTGGATGTGGAGCAGCCAGCAGTGATCAACAAGGCACAAAACCCCAGGGAGAGCCAGCCCCTTTAATAGCTTCTGCTCTGTGGCCCAACAGCAGACACACTTCATGGCTTTATTTATTATAAAAGACCTTTAGGAAGATGATCTCTTCCCAAAACCACCCCTCAGCTTTATTTCTGCCCACAGGGACTGTGTCTAATGGGGTGTTGGCACTGCCAGGGTAGCAGGGCTGGTTCCAGGTTTTTTAGACAAGGGGGACATTCCCAAGCCTGGAGGTGACCCCCTCATTCCCATATAGATCTATGCCTTGGAAACTGCAAACCCAAACTCCATTTCTAGGCAGCTGGATGACAATCAACCCCAGTGTTTATTGCAATGCTCCTCATTTGCCTCAGGTCTATAAATGTACATTCAAAAATAACAGCTCTGTGTATCCCAGCTGGACACATTTGGGCTTGAATGATGAACAGGCTGATCCGTCGGTGAGGGAGAGTCACCTCCTGGTCCCGAGTGTGGTGGGAGCAAACAGGCCAGTTACCTGCTCAGGACCTCTGTGCATCGAGTCAGAGCCTCAAGCACGAACAACTCCAGCTCTCCTTTCAAGTGCATTTGGTGTGAACCCGTGTGGTGTCTCTGGCATCATATCCCAGCACAGGGAAAAGACCCGCCGGCCCTAGAGAGCCACATCCCTTGGGTCCACACCTGTCTTGGGGGAAGAAGACAGGTTTGAGCAGCTGCTGTAATGATGTGCCAGCTTGTTTTGGCTCGAGGATGGGCAGTGAGAAGGCTCTGGAGAGCTTGGGCAGTTCGTGTTTACATGGTACCATAGGGAAAAAACCAGGTTGGATCCCATGAAGCCACCCCGGCTGCAAAAGAGGGGCTGACAGCCAGTGGGGGCCTGGTGGAGCCGAAGGGTTTGTGATGCTCAGCAGCTGTGGGGGCTGCCCATGGTGCTCCCACATTGTCCCAGCTCCCAGCCTGCAAACCCTGCATCCAAGGCAGCTCTTGGCAGGGAGCTGCATTTCAGGTGGCTGCACATCCCAAGTATACCTCCCCAAAGCAAACTCACCACCCAGAGAAGCACACAGTGGTTTAAACAGTAAAAAAAGAAAAAAAAATTGCTTGTGGTATGTAACTCCCATTACCTTGGGCCAACCATGGGCCAACTATGTCAACTTTGTGCACCCCCCCCCACAAAGAACTGCTTTCAGAAAGCCTCAAGTCAATGTAGGCTCTGTCCCTGTTCCTGCAGTAGCCAGGGAAGGCACAGGTTCCAAAGCACCACTTCCAGAACCTCTCCAGGTCCCAGATGGGGAGGTCTGGCTGCCACTGCTGAATTGGATTATTTGTTGGTTATGTAGCTTTAAGCTCATGTCCTTTTGGGGACAGCCAAAAGGAGAGGGGAGAGCCAAAGGTGTGAGCAAGGAGCACAGGGTGGCTAATCTCAGCCAAGCCGTGGCTACCACCTCTGCCCGTGGGGCTATGTGTCCCAGTGGGGAATTTTACCCCTGCAGCCAGCAAGTCCTTGGGCCAGGAGCACACGGTGGGATCCCAGACAGTGTGGAGACACACAGCACTGAGGGCTGATGGCCTCTGTGGGGTCAGCAGGGATGCACTTGGTGCATCCCTGGGGCTTTGCCTGGGGCAGTCCAGTGCCAGCTCCCACTTGGGACAGCCAGGTCGTGGCTGTCCTATGGCAGTGCCATAGGCAGGGTGGGGATGCCAGGCTCTCCTGGGATGTCCCTTCTCTTGGGGATGGGCAGAGGAGCAGCAGTGCACCAGACAAGGGTAGTGACACGCTGAGGGGGACCTTGTCCATCAGAAATGCCAGGCTGGCCTCGTGGGGGGTGCAGATGCAGCACAGAAACCCCAGGAGCCAGGCTGTCAGGTCCACAGGGCCAATCCTGCTGCAGTCTCTTGTGGTACAGCTGAGCTGGGGTCTGTTTTCCAGGTCCAGGTGGCTGTGGCGCTTCAGCTCACCCTCCTCTTCTTCTCCACAGCAGGGACAGCATCTGCCTGTCTGTCCATCCATGCTTTCAGCCTTCAGCAGGACTCCACAGGGACACGAGGGGGTGGCTGCAGCCCCAGGTGGCCGTGGGAGGCTGGTGTTTAGGTGGCCTGGCCGGGTGGGAGGCGTTTGCTGTCCAGAATGGCCTTCCAGTCATCAGACCAGGAGTGCAGCCGGCGGCTGGGGGGCTTCAGCTGCAGGTGCTTGTTGTGGCAGGCAGTGAAGAGCACGTGCTCCCAGGTGGGGTTCAGCTCGGCCCCTGCAAAGCAAGGAGAGAGGTCAGTGCTGTGGACAACTCCCCTGCGAGACACTGAGGTTGACTTTGCTCCAACGTGAAGAGCCTGAAGATACAAAACCCTGATAAGAGCCTAATCAAGCATGGAAGGACCAACACCCATCACTGGCTGCATCCAGGCACTCCCTCAGCCCTCACCTCTTACCTGTTATATCAGGTCTGTCATCTATAAGCAGGTCAGCAGAAACCACCGTCTTATCCCGCGTCAGAACGATCTGCTCAAGAAACTCAGGGCCAAAGTGCTTCTCCACCCAGGCATACTGGAAGGCAAGAGGCAGGGGGTGAGCTCAGGGGAGGCTGATGGATGGGGCAGGGGCTGCTTGGTGGAGTGGAAGCAGCCCTGGCCCCTACACAGGGATAATCTCTCTCTTAATAAGTTGTTTAGTGGGATAGATTTGGATGCTGCTGGAGCACAAGTTCTTTTAAAGCCCAGCAGCTTTTGATGTGATGAAATCCTAAGACCAAGACCCTCAGTGTGTGCAAATGGCAGAGCTCGGCTGATGGCGGAGCTGCTGCTCTGTGAAGATGCTTAGGGACAAAACTGATGGCACAGGGAAATGTTGTTGCCATTTTACAGCTGGAGGTATATAGGGGTCAGCTGGCTTTGCTGGGCAGCCTGGACAGGAGGGGGAGCTGAGATTTGGACCTGCTCACCTTCTCGTAAGGGCAGTAGCGGTACTTCTTGATGGGGCTTGTGCAGATGAAGACGTCAGTGCTGCCACGAGGAGAAAAACAGGGGCAGAGTGTCACTCTGTGCCAGAGCAGGCAGGACCCCGAAGGTGACCCCCCACCACACACAGACCAAACCAGGGTGATTTAATCCCCCATCTCATAGGATCTCACCCATACCCACAGCACAAGAGCAGAGCTGACAGGAAGGGGCTGCACATGGCTGATGTTCTTGGTGACTGCTCCAGGAATCAAAGCCCTCTCTCTCCTCCCATGCCTGCTGGCTGGGAGTAATTTATTTTTAATGCTGATGTTGTATCAGCTCTTCTGCCAGGAGGTGGATGAGCCTGCAAAGCCACAGCCTCTCCCTCGTCCATCCCCACACCACGGGGCAGGTTCCTACTCACTCTGCCAAATTTGCCATTTCCTTCACAGCTTCCACAGCCCCAGGGAGCGGGTCCAGCTCGATGAAGAAGTTCTTGGATTCCCAGATGCTGTTGGCTTTCTCCTGTGAGTGGAAAAAGAGCAGTTACTGCACAGGGCTTCTTGCTACTCTTCTGGCATGCAAGTCTTCCTCACCTTTTGTGAGGATAGAGGATGGTGACAGTGAGAAAGGTGGGAGCACCAGCTCCAGTCCCCTCCTGCTAACTCCCCCTGCCTCTGTGGATGCCTCTGGTCCCCACCTGCCAATCTGCACCCATTCCATCCAATTTAGATTGAAGATGCTCTGCAACAGACTTGGTTTTGCCTCTGCAGCCCCAGATACAGAGGGAGCAGCACGTTCCTTCAAGGCCAAACACAAGAGATTATCCAGATCTGACCCAAACCCTGGGTGTGGGTCCAGAGGGATGGACCCACGAGGATCCAGCTGATGTGGCCTGGTAGCCCTGCTGTAATGTGATGCTGCTCAGGCACAGATGCTGTCTGGCCCATTTGTCTCCATGAGATCACTTAAAATAGCAGCCGGGCTGCTCTCCCAGGAGCAAATATATTACAGGATGAACCACATGTCAGGATGAATGCAGATGCTCTTCCTCAGGGATGCCTGGGCAAGGTCTACCAAGCAAATAGAGCATCTCCAGGCAAGGATTTGAAACACTTAACATCCAGGTCAGCAGCCAGGATGCAACGGTATAGCACAGGGAGAACAGAGATGAGACCACAGGGAGCAAAACCTTGGGATGAGGGCAGAGTCCAGGGGCTGCCTGCTATGGATCCAGCACAGCTCTAAAGAACAGCATCCCCTGCACTGCCTCAAACAGGTAACAGCTTGTCAGGCACCAAGGAAAGCAATTATTTTGCACAAGCACCAGGTCCTTGGGGAGGAGAGCTGGGAAGAAGCAGAAGCAGCCCTGTCCTGGCGTTGTGATGCAGCTGAGGAGCTGCAGATGCAGCTGGGAGAAGTTTTGAAGGGAGCTCTGCCCTGAAGGACTGATTTTCATTTTGAACACTTCTGTTTCTAAATTTGAGGGAGGGGAACAGGGACAAAAGGAACTTCAAGCCCATCCCAGCCTTCCTGTAACATGGCACTTGGCAGTTCCCTCCTGCCTGATGAGTGGGAATCTAGTGAGTAACCACCACATTTTGCCTTTACTATGCCTATACTGGGGGAATAAAGCAGGCAACCATGAGCAACTGGGGCTTTACTGGGAACTACAAAGCTCAGGGCAGCAACACCCCAGAGCGAACACAGGATCGCTTAAGGAGTCCCATCCTGCTTTAGCCAGTGCCAGGACACTGGCTGCACACCTCGCCTCCTCTCAGGAAGGTAAATGCATCAACCCATCACATATTTGGGCACTGAGCTTTTAACATGACATGCCAGAATCAAACCCTGTATTTCTCAAAAAATCCCAAGTAACATGACAAGACCAGACACCCAATTTAAGAAGGAGACTCTGTTTCACTCTTTCCTTTTGCCCAAGCAGCAGAAAACATCGGTGGATCAGAGGAGGGAATAAAAGCCTTCTTCATGGCTGTCCAAAATGAAACACATTGACTTGTGCAGAGAGCCAGCAGAAATGCCTCCTGGCTCCATGGCAAGAACAGCTGCCTTAAAAGTTTGCCATGGGGTCAGGCAAATATTCAAACTACAGTTGCTCTGCTTCAAATTAGTGAGCAATGATGTTCTATTTTTAAGACACTGACTGCAGTTGCACAAGAGACACCTGAAAAACAGTCTGATGCAGCAGAGCACTTCAAACTCCATTGAAGTGTCTTCTTTCAGCAAGGACTTCCGCAGTTATCCCACTTCCAATTATGTCAAAAAGCATTTTGCAATCAAGCTTGAGGAGGGAAGAACTAAGCTCATCTTGAGGAAAAGACCCATTCAGCTCCCAGAGACAGAATAACTCTCTGTGGCACAACCATCATGCTGGCCCAGCAGATGGAAAAATCCCCTGGGCTGGGAATCCCACCAAGTGTCAGAAGGACACACCCTCAAATTCCTTCTTCTTATGTCTCCCCTTGAGGAATTTTCTTGCCTGTCCAGGGCTTCCCATCCTTCCAGGTCTGTGTGCTCAGTGCATTGCTGAGCTGTTCTCTCTTTCAGAGCTGGGACCTGCAGCTCATTGGACTCTTCAGCTTCTATTTTCTAGTCCCCTATATCAGGTCAATGGTTCTCTCTGAGGAGGGGGACTGGAATGGCCCATGTGCCCACATCCACAAAGCAGATCCTGTTCTCTTCATCCCTGTTCTGAAACCATGGGTGAAACCAGGACTGCTCCGAGGTCGATCTGTAGAAATTTTGTTCCTTGTTCAGCCCAAGGTTTCAGTGGTTTTACATGATCACAGCAGACACAAGATGAGCTCACTTCATTTAACACATCCAACGTAGTTAAGATCAAGGAAGAAAAATTCATTATCATGCATTACCCCTGCCAAACTTTTAACATCTGCTTTACTGCATGAATGACGTTCTCCATTTCCCTTTCATCAATCCCACCCAGAGAGGACATGTTATTTCTTTAGCTCATCAAGATGTTTAGGACTTTGCCCATGGGAGAGCTCCGGACCTTATTCCCGCTCCTTTCCTTGTAGCCACCATCCTACTAAAAACAGGAGCACTTTTATTTGCTGTAACACCTTTCAACCAGTGCAACTGCAATCCATGGATGAGATGAGAAACTTGAAGAGGCAGAAACCAACTCTCTGCTATGGTCAGCCCATTGTAATACAATAAAGTACAACATAAAGAGAGTTTCTGCTTTTAGGCTTTAATCATTAAAATGAATACAGTAATTTTCAGGCATGGAGGGTCTGGGGTTGTTTTAATTTTAAGTAAGCCCTTACATGAAGCATTAATTGCATGATTTGCTCTCAACTTTTGTGCTGCATCCCACCCCTCACTTTGCTGTTGAGGAGCTAAATAATCCATCTAGGAACAGTATCAATCCATGTGTCCAAATCAGAGCTAGAAAAAGCCAGCTATGCAATTCGAGGTATTTTAAGACCGATATTCTGAAACATCTCCTTTCCTTGCATGTATCTCCATCCATGAATGCAGGGAAAAAGACCACTAGACCACTTGAGTAACCTGGTCTAGTGGAAGGTGTGTCTGCCCACAGCAGGGGGTTGGAACGAGATGAGCTTTAAGGTCCCTTTCAACCCAAACCATCCCATGCTTCTATGAAAGAGACACTGGATTTCTGGGAAAAAAGGCAACACTGGAAGCTCTCCTGTGTGCAGACCTGTACCTGTGCTTTGGTGGGAGCTCTGGCCAGCACCCACAGCCCTCCCCAGCACTGCACCCA